GGTCCCTATCATTTTTGTCCTTTTTTACGTCCATCGTTGCACAAAATGTTTCTTTAACATCTCCAATTTTCTTGAACAGATCTCTGGTTTTTTCCTTTCTATTCTTTTCCTCTTTTTCTTTGCACTGTTCATTTAAGAAGGCCCTCTTGTCTCTCCTTGCTATTCTTTGGAAGTCTGCATTCCATTTTCTGTAACTTTCTCTGTCTCCCTTGCATTTTCTTTCCCTACGTCCATCGTTGCACAAAATGTTTCTTTAACATCTCCAATTTTCTTGAACAGATCTCTGGTTTTTTCCTTTCTATTCTTTTCCTCTTTTTCTTTGCACTGTTCATTTAAGAAGGCCCTCTTGTCTCTCCTTGCTATTCTTTGGAAGTCTGCATTCCATTTTCTGTAACTTTCTCTGTCTCCCTTGCATTTTCTTTCCCTTGACTTCTCTGCTATTTGTAAGGCCTCATCGGACAGCCACTTTGCTTTCCTGCATTTCCTTTTCTTTGAGATGGTTTTCGCTGCTGCCTCCTGTACAATGTTACGAGCCTCCATCCGTAGTTCTTCAGGCACTCTGTCCACCAAATCTAGTTCCTTAAATCTGTTCTTCACTTCCACTGTGTATTCATAAGGGATTTGGTTTAGATTATACCTGACTGGCCCAGTGGTTTTTCCTACTTTCTCCAGTGTCAGCATAAAATTTGCTATAAGAAGCTGATGATCGGACCCATAATCAGCTCCAGGTCTTTAGGAGACCTATGCCTAGCATTGTGCTATTAAATGGTTTGGTGACTGGTTTGGCTACAAATTCTATTTGTTACACACAAATGAACTACTGCATGATGGCACAGTGCATTTTCACATTTTTGACAGCAAGTACTATGTGGTTTGGGGAATCTCTAAAACCAGGTCCTTAACAACTGTTGTAAAAAGATATTGTGTGCTGTTTGTTGCCAAACGGTTAAATTGACAATACGGTGCTATAATGCCCAGTCAATTTGACATGCAGTGTAATTACAAGTTTTAATGACAGCCACAAGGTCAGGTGGGATGTTTCAAGTGAATGTGGCTTTAAAGAAGACAAGCCCACACCAAAATTACAGAAATCAAAGCTGTGTATACCACTTAGGTTATAATGTGATGCAAGCAGAAAGTAAGAGTGGTCAAAGTATCTAGAGGCATCTTTAGGACAAGATAAAAGCTTGGTAAAGGAATATTAGAAATCTCAATTAATTTAACCTTACTACAGTAAGAGGGGAAAATAAATTGGGGTCATTGCCTGACATGAACAGCAAGCCTTCCAAACACTAATGTGATAATTAGCTTAATCCTGAATATGAAAATTTGCAAAGTAGAGCATACCAGTGGTCTGTTTTTGGAGACTTTTTTAATGACAAGGATCATATTTTCAAAGTTTATTAGTAGTTACCTCCTCAGCCTCTCTCAGTGTCAAAGCTGAACAAACTCACTTGTTATTTCTTGAAGAGTTATCTTAACATTGTACAGCCATCTTTGGGACTATTCTGTCATGAATGCAACTGACTGTCAAACAGGTATTTGGATTCTCTTCTACTTTCACCTTTTTGCCACTTTATTTTCTCCCCTACAGGAGCCTTCTTTCAAGATAATTAAATATGTCCCTAACAGGGAGACTCCAAATTCATTTCCATTTGAAGGACCATGTCCAGTTTGTGTCAGCAGCAAGAAAGCTTCTTCCTATGCTCCATTAATGTTAATCTAAGATCACTTGGGAAGATGGAAAAGTCGGAAGCTGGCATACTTATACTGCTAAAAGAGAGAAAGACACACAGAGAGAATGAGAAAAGGAGAGAGAGCTTTTCCTGTGCCTAGTTAACTCTGCTTTTCTTGAATGTAGTATACTTCACATTCACTCTCCAGAATTATACCGGAACTCTTGTTTCAACTTTTCTGTTATTAATTAGCTGTTAAATAGCTTCTCTCAGAAAGACAGCACTTGTTTAAAATATACTGGAATTGTTGGTAAATAATTTTGTATTTATATTATTCCTTATAAAAAGAACTAAAATTCATTAGGCTATGAAGCAAGAACATGTTAATTTTTGCAGGTTCAGAATCTAAACAACAGGAAACAAGGAAGAAATGGACTTAAAGGAAAAAGAAGGGAACACATATATTTCTATATACTGGTTTCTCTTCATTTCCTTTCCACACCAGAGTTACATCTATATGACATCAAAGCTGCAGTGACATCTATCCTGCAACCACCAGGGTGACCAATGTTAAATAACAAACACTATAATAACCATGCAATAAACCCAATATTCCTTTGGCAGTCGCAGGAATTTCTTCCCCTCCACTTTGTGCTGCTCAAAAATCACCTCCATAAGCTTTTCTAGTACCCCAGAAACAATTTTGGAAACCTACAGTGCTTGATGTCACTTTGCGAATGGTAGTGAGAACAAGAGGGGATCCTACAGACCACCTTGACTGCTGCCATTGGTGTTGTCAGCATTCAGGATGCCTTTTGCTATGTAAAGCTTGGCATCCTTTTTCCTGCTGGCAATGAAGGTATGCTATTCTGCAGCAATATCAGGCCATTTCATGGCATTCTGAATTGTGGATACAGAAGTACAATATCCCACATTCATAAACCAGATATTTTTGTAGAATTGAATTATGATTAAGGCTGTAAACCAATATCTGCTTAATTTAGAGCACTCCCCACTGCACAGGCATTTGAGTGTTTTGTAAATGCTTAAAATATGACTAGACCATGGTGTAAGGAACCTCTGCCCTCCAGATGGTATATATTATGACTCCCATAATTTCTTACCATTGGCTGTGCTGGTAGGGCTGATGGGAGCTGTAAACAAAAGCATCTGGAGGGCCAAAGGTTTCTCATTACTGGTTAGATAATTCCCTAGTTGTGTCCACTCGCTTACAGAAGGTCTGTTTTGTATTTGTTTGGGACATTTTCATATCTTAATCTTGAAAGGCAGTCCTATAAATTTTAGAGCAACATCTATTACCTTCTATTCACACTTGTTTCATATTATACCTTGTGGAGAGGAAAATGTAAGGATATCAAAATGCAAAAGATCCCAGTCTAGCTAGATTCCATTTACTGTCAAGCTAACAAACCTTACTGCTTTCAATGGGCATTAACAATTGCTAACTTTTATTACCCTTAGAAGAAATTAATGAATGAATGGCTTTTTAAGGACTGCAATGGCCTGCAAATGATATTCAAGAATAATTTCAAAGATAAGAGAGCTCATAATGTCAACACGTATATATAATCCAGCATATTACTCAGTTCCAGACTTGCAAATATTGATGATGAAAATCATCACGTACCTTAACCGTCTATTAAATGTGGGAACAATTTTTTACAATTTTTTTTTACAAGTATAGACTTATTTGCAAATCCTTTTCTTGAAATAAACCTGAACCTTTCCACAAATGACCACATACATTTGTGGTCATCATTTCTGACCCAAGCAATACATCTTTAAAAAATTTAAGGCAGTTAAAAACCTTCTTGGTAGACTTGTAATCCCCAGAAGTGCAACATTTGCCCCAAAAGGCTTAAGGGAAAGCAACAATAATTTACAACAAGCCATTCTTTGTCATTGCCTAACACAGATTTAACAGTACAAACTTCGCATAACTACTTAACTACTGAGAAGTTTCCCCATCCAGGGAAAGGATTATAGCTTTTTAGGAGCAACAACAAAGACAATAAAATGGGAGAGAAAGATGACAGCATAGGAAATTGCATACTGAACAGCAGCAGCTATTGGACTAGCAAAGCGGCACATGTTTTCTCTTTCATCTCCTTCAAGGAGTCTCATCTTTCTTTCAGGGGAAAAATTCTCCCCCATAACCCACCATGTTACTGCATAGAGAGTGATATTGTAACACCTATACTTTATGGTCTACTCTGAGCCTACAATAGCAGTGATATCTCCAAAATGCAGACAACTAGCTTATTAATGAACCATAAAACATATGCATCAAAACTAAAAATAATTTCTGTCTGCCACTCTGCATATTCAGGGGCTCCTGGCAGCTTAGTCTACTATAAAAGAAAATTATGGCCACAGTTTAAAAGCCACATGAATCTTATTTAGAAGGCAGTTATTCTAGTTTAAAACCGGCATGCACCTAGCATAGGAGATAACAGTGGGAATCATTGCATTACAGTGCTCGGAAATGCAGTTTATGCAACAATGAAGGGAGTTAATATACCACGTAAAACAACTGCAGTCAAGAACAGCAAACTGCAAGCTATTTGAAATATCTCCAAATACTTTTCCACATTAGTAAATTACCCACTGATCAATCCTCATTATGCCTGTGTCTGCTGGAATTGCCTGATGATAAATCAGACAAAGAAGCCCCAACAGAGGCTGGAGTCTTGTGCTATCTGAATTTAGGCAACTGTCAAGTAATATTAATGGTGTCTCTTCTTCTTATCAAGTTGTTGGAGCAACAGACCCACCTCGGCAGATGGTCCCATTTCCCACATATCCAGGTTTGCAGGTGCAGCTATGTCCCCTGACTGTGTTAGTGCAGATTGCGTTCTCATCACAGTTGTGCTGTCCGCTGTCACATTCATCACGCTCTACAAGAAAACAATGCAAGAGAAAGTGAGGGGGGCATAATTTTCCAGACGGCAGATGTGACTTTTGAAAAACCAGTTTTAACTAATGATAGGGCTGCTACGCTGAACTGCTGAATATAGCAGAAGAAACATTAGAAAGAGAAACCTAGCATGGTCTGTTTCCATGATTCATAGCAGGTCACCTACCATATTTTAGAGATGAGGAGAGGAAATAAGGAATAAGTAGACAGAATTGTAAGTGTCTGAACTACATCATCCAATTCAGTAGAAAAAGAAGAAAACCCATCTTTCCAAAATACAAGGGAGGAGTAATTGTGCTTGTACTATTAAGAGAATGTAAGTGGAGACAAAGACATGGAAGGTCTTCTTCCTGTTCCAAACAAGCTAAGCCTTCCTCAACTTAGACAGTGCCTTGACAAGTATTAAGACATCTTGACTGGAAAATGGTTCCTTTCTGAATGAGAGGGGAAGGGTAGAGCCAGGGAAATCAAATTTATAATTGCTGAGCATCAAAGACACAGCTTTCAGGTACCTTTTTTTCCCCAAAATTAAGCATGGAGAACCTGTTCTTGATTGGGACCTTCATTTGAAGGGTAGGGGAGATTTATCCATTTCCCTCCTCTCATCCTCATGGGGAACATAGAACCTGAAATAATTCATTTCTTTCAGTGGTACATTTTTGGCAAGGCAAAAAGGACAGGTATCATACCCTTGTCAATATTAGAATAATGGTAGAAAGGCAAAGTATTAAAAACGCCCCTCTCCCATCTAGGGTCCCAACGGAGTCACTGTGCTGAATTCTGAGTGTGGAAACAAGACATAGATGCTACATACATCTGTCAGAAGGTACGTTAAAGGATTTGGACGGTCCTGAATTTGGCGTGGAAATAGACACAGTTGAATCATTCAAACTATAACTATTTTTATTCATGTTGAGTAAATGTGTATCTATAACAATTTCTGTGGGGATAAACGCACTGAAATAGACACAGTTGAATCAAACTATAACTATTTTTATTCATGTTGAGTAAATGTGTATCTATAACAATTTCTGTGGGGATAAACGCATCCCATCCATTCAACTGTCTTTGCCCTTCCACGATTACCCTCCCAGGGGAAGGGGTTTTGCTTATTATAGTCCTCTGCATTGCAGAAGTCTTCCACTAGGTGGATCGTTTCCTCTAATTGCTTCGGGTAATTTTTCTGAAGCCAGCTCTTCATATTGCCGCTCATCGTTGTGATTAGTTGCTCCATTACAAGGATTTCTAATATCTGTTCCTTCGTCTTTTCCTCGGGTCTCAACCATCGCACTAAATTGGCCTTCATCCTCTGGGTTAAGGGTCTTGGATGAGTACCCGGTTTCATTCGTAAATCCCTAAACCTCTTCCTATATGCCTCCTCTGTCAAATTCAAAGTATGTGGGATGGCGGTCTTCACATCTTCATATCTCGAAAGCGTGGACGTATGCTCTGGATCATCAGTCATTCCCATTTTCTGTATTCTAATCAGTGCTAGCCCGGCCACCCACGGATTCTTTAATGGAGCTTCTTTCTTGACTTCTTTAGTTTCTTCCAACTCTTTCTTCCAAAAGCATTTCGTGATCAAAGTCTGCTGTTCTATCATGTTTTCTATTAACTTCTCTTGTCATTCTATCGTCTGTCGTAGGCGTAGAATCTCCAGATTTCCTGTTTCTGGAACTGCCTCACGTTGGGCACCACTGTCAGAAGGTTTGTTAAAAGTTTTGGATGGTCCCAAATTTGGCATGGAAATAGACACAGTTGAATCATCACAACTATTTTTATTCATGTTGAGTAAAGGTGTACCTATAACAACTTCTGTGGGGATAAACACATCCCATCCATTCAACTTCTGACAGTGGCTTTAACATCAATGGCTTTAACATTATTATTATAACTAAAGTCTCTCTTCAAAATTGAGCTGCCAGGCCAAAATGTTCCTTGTCGCTGGGCCTCCTCAGAGGTGCGCTCCTTAATGCACACATAGTGCTGCAGCACAGATGGCGGGCCCAATCCCCCTCTGGGGGTGGCTTGTTGAAGGTTAGGTCCGATCGCTCCGCCTTCTTCCAGGGACCTCGTCCCCTCGGGAATACCACCACAGGCCATTTCAATGTTTCCCTTACTATCACACCTTCTCCCTCCAGCACCGGATCAGGTAACAGACCTCCTACTTCCAGGTTTGGGAAATCTTTTAGTAGATTGTTTACATGCTTACTCTTCTCCTCCTTTTCCCTTTAGCTTGTCTAGATATAAAAATCCGCGCCTGTCCCCACTTGTATATCTTCCTCCCATACGTCCATCACTTGCTCCTCCTCCTTCCCTTCCCCTTCCCCCAGTAGACATGACTTCTACCTTAACCCTTTCCTTGTCTCCCATTGTCTTTAACATCTCTCTCTCCTTTTCCCCTCCATTTGTGTCCTTGATTTCCGGAGAAGACGCACTCCTATCATCCTGTCCTTCACAACTTCTTCAAAGCAAAACATAAGGCATACCTCTTAAGACAAATAAATACAAAGATATACTGAAACTCCTCATAACTGAGCAGGGAGATGATGATGATGCTCTGAGTTATGAAGTACCAGCTTTCCATGCATTGTTATGGATGACTTCATTATGTCATTCTTTTCCTAAAAGCAATTTCCCACACTGTGCTTACAAGTAACATGTAGCTTTTTGACCCTGAGTCTCACTGAATTCCAACAGAGCCCTCTATTCAACACATTGGCCTTCAGTCGTTTCAGTTTGAGGATTACAGATTGATTTACAACTGGAAGAAAAACTTCAAAGCAGGATCCAGAGATAACCTCCTCTGTATTTCACATTTCTGCTACTATTCAGTTTTGATTACTCAGCCCCACTGCTCAAACAGAACCATAAGAAATGAACAGAACTTACCAGCAATCACAGACTGATCAGAAGTTACCACCCTAATGTCTCTGTAATGAACACTGCTATCATTTCAAAGTGCATCTGCAGAACAACCGTATCTCTAAACTACAGGTAGTTATTACTGCCTTGCCATTTACCAATGTGCAAGCTTCCTTTAGAGCATTCCATTGCTCTGACTTTGATTTAGAATGTGAATATCTATTTATTATATGAATACTGTCAGCTTGATGTGGATTCAAAGGATAGCAGCAAAGGCTTTGGAAGACACATTACAGAAAGACAATAATGAATGAACTAGGCTCTCTTGACTCCGGGAAAGAAGATTAAGTAGATCTAGCAGAACAGGTTCAAAACTACATATATCAAATGCCTGTCATGAAGAAGATGGAACATTTCTCCCATATCACTGGAAGAAAAAAAAATGACACAACTGAAGAGAGCACCAGCATCATGCAAACAAACTGGATATTAGGAACTATACCAGATGGACCAAGCATCAAGTAGCTGTGGAAAATTATGCAACCTTTACCATCAGAAATTATTGAAGAGAGGCTGGAGATCCATCTGCCACGGATGCTTTAACTAAGCTTTTCAGCATTGCATTCAAACCATGGAGCAGATGTCTAACGGGATCTATTCCAATTTTGCATTATTATGGTTCTGTGGCAATGGGATTGGAGGGGCCCATTTTGAGATGGCAAGTGTATTTATTTTCATACATTTTATGCCAAGCACTCTATATTACTCCCATCCAGTTTGCTATTCACCTGAAACCATTCATGGATCCTTGAAGCTTGTCATTTTCTTTATATCCCCATATGGAAAGGAGCCTGAAAAAGTCCTATTGTTTGAAGTGTGAAAACACATTGAAAACCACAGCTTTACACCTGGAACTCTCACATACTCTCCAGTCTCCTCAAAGAATTTCAGGATTTAAAGAGAGAAAACAATTTGGTGCCACAGCATCAAAGAGAGTCACTCGGAGAGTAGTACTCAGGGCTGGTCCAAGATGTTTGCTGCCTCAGACAAAGGACAAGATGGTGGTCTCTACATACAGGAACTGCCTAGATTGTCAGTCTAAATAGGGCTTGTGAAAATGACCCAGCAGCAGGTTCAGGGGTTCTGGAAATATGGCTGGAGGGCTGTTATGGTTACCTCACTCTCCCTAAAGTTAGGGTCAACTCTGTTTGTATTTAGAAAAAACAAAAACAAAAACCCAACACAAAAAACTTTTCAGCACAAGATTAATTTTGGTTTTCTAGACTACAGAAAGTGGCAATTGAAGCAGTCAATTTTCAGTGCAGAGGGATCTGAAAGTGAAGAAAACATCTGCCTCTCATAGTCACTGCTTCCATTCTCAAGCACTTTTGTATATGTAACAATGTATGTGTGTCTAAGGACAGAACAACAGGAAAGTCACTGAAAATGTCATTTACAAGAGGGAAGGTTACCACCTTGTATAGTAATTGCTATAAACTGCACATCAATTTTTGAAAACATGTACATTTTTGCCCAAACCCCATTAAAGGACTGTGGAGAAGAAGGGCAATTACGTAAGCATTCAAGTCTTCAGCAGGCTTTCGTTTGCATACCTGGTCTTTTATTGGTCCTGAGACTGGTCATGCAATGGGGGTCTCTCCTATTGGGGGGAAACATTGCATAATTGCCCTTAGGTGCATGCTTTTTCATAGCAGGATTCTGGCTTCTGTGTCTTGATACAGCTGCCAAAGTCCACAAAAACTATATGGATTTATTTACAAGTTTGCATTCACTTGCATTTATAAATTGATAAAAATAAACTTTAAAAATCATTAATAAGAAACAGAAGTTCTAAACCTAAAATGCTTCTTCATGAGTAAACAATATTTAAGGTCAAAAGTCAATGATAGTTGTGGTGGAACATGATTCAATTTGTTGATTTTTCAGATCTCCCATTTCAATGTGATGAAAATAAAGTTTGCATCACATGTATCATCTGTATTAAATCCTTTTGTTTTTATGGCCTAATCAACTTTTAAAGAAATTTTCTATCATTTACAATGTATGGCAGCTGTATGAATTAACATCCTCCAGAAGTTTCTATCATTACACACC